AATTACTCATAATGTATTCTGCGGACTTCATGTCCTTTAATTGAATTTATTTCCGGCACCTTTGGCTAGCCGGCATTAATCCAACTACATGACCAGTCGAACCGATGCTTTTCGAATTAATAAAAAAAAACGCTCTTTAGTTTAAAATACAGGCTCTGTTGAACAATTGTGCAAATTTTTTAAGCTAGTTAATATGTAATTCACGGAGGTGACACAAATTTAAATTTGGTAATTTTTTATAATCGATTCATATATAAGATATTAAATTTCAATTTGTATCTCCTCTGTAAATTACATATTAACTATTCTGAAAATTTTTCTCAATTGCTCAGCAGAACCTATATTTTAAACTAAAAGAGAGTTTTTTTAAGAAAGTTTTTAATAAAATTTTTATTTAATTCATTGAATTAATCCATTTGTCGCCGGAGGTGACTGTACCCGAATTTTACTTTTAGTTGTATTTAGGGTTAGAAAAGTCATTATATACAGTAAATTATGCAAGGAATATTTTTTGTTATGACATGGAATTCGATTTTATAGGCATAATGTTAAGTTATTTAAATTTGGAATTTTGTAACTGATGGTGACAAATATATTTGCCCATATTTTATAAATAGTTTTTAAGCATTTTACTGTAGATCATTGTGATTATTTGATTATTACGTATAACGATAAGGACTATGCATGAGTTTGATTTACATAGTACATTGAATACCCTAATGCTACGTGGGCGTTCGATGCACTATCGCGTAAATCAAGTCTATTATGTAGTTCTATGTGAAAATCATTTTGTGTAACATTTATTATAAACTACTGCGGCAATAGTATAGTTTCGATAAATTTCAGTAAAAAAGCTCACTATTACATTAAAATATGCTATCCATTAAACTCTCAAACAAAATTTCTAAATAGATTAATATATGGCAATTTTTTATAACAAATTGCAAACTTCAAATTGTATCTCTTTGACATTCCACATATTAATCTATTTGTAAATTTCGCATGAAAGCATAATGAATAACAAATTTTAATGAAATAGAGAGCTTTTTTTCATAATAATAGTTGCCGCAATATTTTTATTATTAACGTGAATGTAATAATTCATTATTTTTCAGGCTATGAAAAAAAGCTCTCCATTTTATTAAAATTTGCTATACATTATGCTTTCACGCGAAATTTCCAAATAGATTAATATGTAGAGTGTCGAGGAGTTACAATTTGAAGTTTGCAATTCTCCGTGAAAAATTTTCTCGATATTCTATATATTAATTTATTTGGAATTTCGCATGAAATTTTAGTGGATAGCATATTTTAATGTAATAGAAAGTTTTTTTTCATAACCCGAAATAATAAAAAGACTGAAATTTAACGAAACTAACTATTGCCGCAGTAATTATATGAATGTCACACGAAAAACCACTAATTGTTCACAAGGACTACATATAGACTTGATTTACATAGTGCATCGAACACCCCAATGCTACGTAAATCAGGTTTAAATTGCACAGATGCAGAAAAAAGCCACATTTAATTGTATTTTATATCACGAGATAATGTTTTTACAAAAATTTAATCATACCGATACAAATTAAAATTTTTTTAAAAAAGTTTTTTTTTTTAAAAAAAAAGGCTTACCACCATTACTTTTCGTGGAAGGAATTAGGAGAGTTAATGGTTAGATGTGTTGAAAATAATAGTTTAGACGCAAGCATTGGTCCAAATTAGGTCAGTTCGTGTTTTCGGTTCGTATCTGAGAAACAATAATAAACAACCTTTTGCATCCTTACAAATTTTTTATTTATATTAATATATCAGAAATAGTATCGATCATTAATCCCTTTCTTGGACCGTAAATACAGAAATAGTTCTCATGAGTATCGGGTACTGGACCGGGCCGATCATTCTTAAACCAATTAAACCCAAAGAACATCACATGACTGCAGTTTGTTGCATTTCCCAAATAAGAAGCACAAAACAATAAACCAGAAAATACGAATACTGTATTACTAAGCCCCTGTTTTCGGTGTACCGATACACAAGAAAATACCGTATTAATATGCCTTTTAAACCCCAATTAGCCCATACTTAACTAAGACATTCGTTTATTAAAATTCCAATCCGAAAAATGCTAACCACTAAACATAGAACCTTTATTCGAATAATATTTATCATAGCATTAATACTGTTGTTGCTTACGTCCATTCCCCGGAACTCATTTAGCTCATTTAAAGCCAGTGAATATTATCAACATAATGAATTATCAACTTTGAACGATTCTGCCAAATCTTTGAATTCCACCCTTGGCTTTGATCATATTTATCTCGTTAACCTTGCAAAGAGGTCGGATAGACTTGAAAAGATGAAAGCTGTAGTAAATGCTCTTAACTTAGATGTTGAATATTTTACTGCCATTTCAACCGATGATCACAAAACTCTTGATAGATTTAATAATGCGACTTATATGAATGCAACTCATAAAGCTTGTTACGTAAGTCATTATTTGATCTATCTATCAATCGCCTACAATCGTTACGATAGCGCTTTGATATTGGAGGATGATGTGGATATTGAGCTCAACATTACATCAATAATGACTTATATTCATAGCGTATTACCATCGGATTGGGATCTTTTATATATCGGACATTGTATGGGCTGGGAAGGTGCATTTGATCCACCTATAGAAGAAACATCAGAAACTTTTAAACTGTATCCATCTAAAAAACCATATTGTACGCATGGTTATGCCATTTCAGCCGCCGGTGCACTTAAGCTTATAAAAGAACTTGCCACATTATATATACCACTCGATCTTCAATTGATCTCGAAGATTGATGAAGGTGTCTTCAAATCATATAGCGTTAATCCGGCGCCTATTATACAAACCAACGATAATCCATCTGATGTATCTCCTGATGCCGAGTTTTTGGAATATAAATCTCTGATAAATTCCACCCTATATTCGCTAGGACTCAAATAAATTCCACTCTATATTCATCTATATTCATTCATTGTTATCTTCTCTTGATGTAAGGCCCTTTTATAAGCTTTAAATCTTCAATTACTTTTATTACTCATTCGAAATAAATTCATCTACATCCTTCTATTATACTTTTTTCTGACAGTGATATCTCACAATTTAGAAAAAAAATCATTTCTTAATTCGCGAATAACTTAGGAGTATTAAGGTTCTTGAATACGTATTAATGAGTTGGGAATCTTCAACTATCTCTTGGATAATTATAGATTCGCAAATTAAATTATTAAAATTGTTTTTTTTTACATTTAGACTAAACCTATGTTAAAACGAGTGTTTTTATATTATAAAATGTTAGTTATCATTTTTCAACTTACGTAAATCATCCATTACGTAACATGGGTTATTCGTAGATTAGGAAACATTCATCGTTTCGCATCTTTCGCATTCAATATAGATTAAAAAAAGTATAGTGAATTAGCTTATAAGTGCCGGGAAATAAATTTAAATAAATTTTATTTGGCAGAATAATAATTGTGACTTGATAAATTATATTAACTTAATAATATATAGATATTGCAGCCAATGACAGAATTATTTGTAAATAGTTCATTATATCTGGCTGCGTACGTAGCATCCAATAAGGTTTATCCGGTGGTTTACGATGACTGAACCAACTGAATAATTCGAGTTATTTTGGTTATAATTGCATCGTCTTCAAATAACGAATTTATTTGATGATGATGCAAACACCATCGAAAGAACTCGAATTATTCTGGTGTTACGACCATAGTAAGCTGCTGGATAAAAAAAATCATTTTAATTTGCCATAATCATTTTTGTACCTGGTTCGTCAAAATTAACTATTAAGTATTTAAATATATTGCTCAAATAATTTTATTATAAACCTCATTCTGATATTAATAAGTAAAGATTTTATTTTTTATATTAAAATTTTATAAAAATAAAATAAAGTATTCAAAAAACAATGGCAGAAACTTACTATTTCTTAGTCTTCATTCATATAGCAATAAATTTAATTATTATATTATTAAATTTTGTCTTTAATATAATAATTTAATATTAACAAAAATCTAAAGCTAGCAAATTTTGAATTAATATTTTTAAATTTAATTAATATTGCATGTTTCTGAAAATAAGCTTTCTTTTTGGGTCAAATTTTAATATAAAAAAAACTAAGTATTTTTGATTATTCTTGATTTTTAATCAATTACATCAAATTTTTATTAAATAAATTAGATTTAAAAATTTTGTTTAAAATATTAAAATATGTATAATTTAAAAATTTTACATAAATTTAATTTTTAAATTTATCAAATATAATTTTTAAAATTTTTAATTTTATTAGATATTAAATATAAAAATTATTAAAATTATTTTAAAATAATTATTATTTATATTTTTATATTTTAATAAAATAGAAGTATATTAAATAAAATATTTAGAATTTTTAAAAATCTATATAATTTTATATAATTTTAAGAATTTAACTAATTTTAACCTCTGGTTAAAATTATAAATTTTAACCACCCTTTATTTTTATAGAACTTTTTATATAAATATATAAATTATTATTTAAAGAATAGGTTAGGGCATAGGCTATATTAAGTTAGAGTATAGGTTATTTATATGTAAAAATAAGTATTAAAAACTTTACTTAATAGCACAAAGCTAGTTTTTATAATAAAATTTTACGATATTGATAATTTTTTAATTTTTTTAAAAAATTTCTTTATTTTGTTACACAAAATTCTGCAACCCGATTGGTAAATCATAGAGTGGTTAACGTTACCAGAGAGGCAAGTTAGCAATACTCTAATTTTAAATTTAAATTATTATATAAACATGACCAAAAAGTGACTATGCACTTTGTGCCTCCTTTTGATTAATCAATAAAATTGCAACATTAAGCATAACATGTAGATCAATATTGTGTAATAAAAACAATTATGTATATCAATTTTGTATAATAAAACAAAATATTTTTTAAAAAACCAATCATATTTCAAAAATTTGACTATAAAACCACTTTTGGGGCTTTACTAAAAAATTCTTTGTAAAATATTACTATATGCCATGCTTAATACTAATTTCTAAATACTGTCTTTATTTTAATATTAAAAATTTTTTATTTTTATTTTGAGAAATTATTTGCTATAAAAATTGATGATTATTTAGAGATACAAAATGCATAGAAGCAATATTTAGATTTATTCTTATTATATTTAACTTTGTTTTAATTATAAACTATTTTAATTTTAAATTTTAATAATTAAATTATTATAAATAATTTTTAAATTTTTTAATATAAAAAGAATTAAAAATTATCAAAGTTAGATAAAATTTTAAATAAATATAATATATCTATATTATGCAGTATATAACTAGTAATAAATATATACTAGTTATTTTAATTAAATTAAAATTAATTTAGTTAATTATTATATTTAATTAATTACAGAAATTAGTTAACTAAATATAATAGTTTATTATACAAATTTAATTATTTAATCTAACTTTAATCTATAATTTTAATAAATTTATATTTATTAAAGTTTATTTTTATAAATAATAGGAATAATAATATATATTATTTTAAAAATTAATTTATAAATTATATATTAATAGATCAAATAATTAATATATTTAAAGTTTATAAATAAAATTTAAATAAACCTTATTTTTAGATTTATTTAATAATAATAAAATTGTTAGTTAATTTTTAAATATTGGTTATAAGATTCTATAATTTGCTGCTATGGCCAGTTTACAGTATCACATGATACAATATAATTTATTTTTGTACTATATTTGACTTTTGATAGTTAGATAAGAGTATATCTATATGACCACATAATTTTTACAAACAATTTACATAATTCTGGGTCAAAATTAATCAAAGCTAAACCAATACTAACCAACCAAATCTGTATTAAATTATCAGCTATGTAGAAATTTTTTTCTTAATAAATAGACTATAACTTCATTAACATTAGCAATCTAAACAAATTTTGATACATTTGACCTGTAATTTTGAATATATAGTTAAGTAGTAATGCGTAGAAATCATGATAGTATACACGGTTTGCAAAAGAAGATAAATTCAAGTTACTTTTTCTAATAACCCCAAGTGAAAAGGGACAATACTAGTGCTCATCTTAACCCTAACTATCAAATGCATTACCTGCATAGCACATATGTACGTACAATAACAATCATATAATTTAAATCTAATAAATAAAGACTGTATATTTTAATATAATGATACTTATTTAAACACAATATCTTTGCATAATCTTGTATTTTGTAGTACATAATAAGTAATCAATAATAATAAATTTTGGTAAAGCACATAACATAAGCAAAACCAATGATCACACAATTTTCTTCACACTAATATATAGTCGAATTTCTCTAAATATATATAACATTGAACTTAACTACTCTAAATACAAAATACCTAATTAAGCAAAAAGCTTATCATTTTTGTCTGTAAGCAAACTTTTTGGAAAACATTATATGTCAAAAACTGCAAATATAAGGTACTATACTAATATCTTGTGTTATAATTAAGAAATTGGACTGTATGTATGTATATAATCTGTAAAGATGCTCTAAACATTACAGTTTTTTTGATAGTGACCATAGTTATCACATTTTTTACAACACTGTTGCTGTTTTCCTTTATCTTGATTTGTTTTATACAATGCTTTAATTTGCTTTGTACCTGCCGGCCTTCCCTTGCCTCGCTTTTTTTTAGATTTTGTAATTCAGACAATTGAAGCATTTCAGTATTTAAGTTTTTCTTATTACTTGTTGAATCATCATCTTGACTATCTTTACTTAACAATTTGTCATTATTCTTATTAGTTAATGCTTGCAATACTTCAATCAGACATTTTGACTTTGATTTGGTTTGTAAAGCTTTTCATAAAGCCTTTTTATATTCTTCATGAAGATTACTATATAAAGCCTTTTGCTCAAGAACACTTATATGTTTCTCAACAAAATCAATGTTTTCTTTATCAATTGCATATAGATAAATTATTGGCTTACTGTTCTCTTGCTAAATGTTGTTAAACCCTTCATTATAAAATTTATCAGCAATAATAAATGATTTGAATAATGCATTCTTATCTTTCTGGTACCAATGAGAAGGTATCATTCTGATATCAAACTTAGCCTTACTGTTACTTAGCATAACCTAAAAATAGTGTTTATATATGATATCTTGTTAAACGATTATAAGACATAAACAAATATGAGAATCATTTTTTAATAACACAATGTAATGTTTCACTAATAATGAATTTTTAATCTTAATTTTCTATATCTCATCAATGTCATCCAGTTCAATGACATCCAATAATTGTTGTATAGTAACTTTAGGGCTATCAACATTCTCATCTTCATTATCAGATATCATAATCTCAGCCTTATTATTGAATAAAGTATCTTAAACAACCAAAGATGCACTATAGTAAAGCGATTGATTGATCTTATAACATTGCATCTTTAAAATTATCGGAGTCAAAAATTTCTGACAACACCTGTCTACTTGGGTAAACAAAAAGTTCGTATTTTCAACATTTTTGATCATTGGTACAGCAAGCTTCCAATATTGATATTGATTTTTCTTGTCTTCTTGATCAAGCAGCTTATATATTTCATACATAAGTTCACAAAGAGAAACATCAGAATTATATAATAATCTTTTGAGGCATGCATTCATACCTTCAACTCTTAATGTAGCGATCATGCCTCCAGTAAATCTAAAACATATATATGAATAGGCCCAATACTCCTTAGACTTATACAGACCCTCCAAATAAGGTTTACATTTTGGATAGTTATTAATTAAATTTGCAAATAGTTCATGAAATGTAATCTGAACTAATCTGTTCCTACATTTATAAAAGTCTTTAAGAAAACTATCATATTGATTACCAATTAAACTTTGAAGATTCTTATAAAGGTTTTGAGTTATATGAAATGCACAGTATATTGGATATGAAGTTGAGAATACTTCCTTTATTGCAGCATCAACTGCAAGATCCAAATCAGTTATAATCACCATTGGTTGTATATTAATAGCCTTGAAAATCTGATTAAAAAACCAAACATGAGAATCTTGACTTTCATTTACAATTAGCCCTTGAGCAAGAAGAATATTTTGCCTATCCTGGTCAAACCCTATAAAGAGCGATAATTGTATTCCGTATCTGTTTGTTTTGTGTGTAACATCATTGATAACAGTCACTAAATTGTATCTAATTCTCAACCTGATTAGGTGTCATCAACATTAAATGTATAAGCATATTGTTCTCATCCTATCCTCTTGCTACAATCCATCTTGGTTCTTTTCTTTTTGGCTGTCAAGCCAATTTAATATTTTTGCTGCATCATTTAGGAGGGACTTTGCAGTAGGCTGAAATTTACTAATTATCACGTATAAATCTTTACTATAAACAGGTTTAGAAGGATATCTACCCTCCAAATACTGCCTTTGAGCTGTTGCACTTATTCTACAATGTATAGTCAAGAACTCTATATCATCTATCATTTCTTTACTAAACTTTTTTTCTTGTTCAAATATGATAGCATTGATATTCAAATTATAATTATATTCATTTTGATTTTATTGATAAAAACAAGAGAATCTGGATTTCTAAGTTTGGGACAAGATACATTTACAAGCCATAGGCATAAAATTTTTTTTGTTTCTGTTTTTTTATCAGAGTTTGATTCATAATGCCGACTGTGCTTACAAATATAAGTTCTTCTTCTTATAATATTATTTTCATGATTAACATGTCTTTTATAACATTAAATCTATTACTTCTATCCCAATTAACTATGAATAAATCACATATACCCCAGTTTGATATTACTTTTCCACTATATAACTTGGATGCATCATCTTCAGCACTATTAATCATAAATAGAGTTTTGAGATCATTATCTATATTTTCAATATATTCCACATTTTCTACACTTTCAACATTGCTTTCAACATTGCTTTCTTCAGTGACAAAATGATCTATATTCTTAGTATTACTCATGTTGAGATATGTTATAAAAGTGTGAACAAGAACAGAAAAGGGACTAAAAAAGAATGCAAAAATACAAGAATGTGAACAAAATAAAAAAAAAAAAAAGCAGTAAGAATATGATAAAGAAAGACAAGAAAAAAGCACATAAATGAAGTGCAGAAAAATTAAAAAAAAGGGGCAAGATGAAAGAAAAGCACGAATGAAGTGCAGAAAAAATGAGATAGAAAGATAGAAATAAAGGAAAGAAAATGAAAAGTATAAAGAAAAAAAACCACAAACATAGCTAAAAAAAACATAAAAACATGGTGAAGCAAGTCAAAAAAATGTAACTGAAGTATAGAAAAATAGTATGAAAAAAATATACGAACTGAAAAATATAAGATAAAAAGAGAGTCTCAAAAGAACGTGATTGAAGTGTAAAAAAATAGTGAGTATGGGAACCGAAAAACACAAGACGAAAAGAGAGTACTCAAAAGAATGTGACTGAAGTATAGAAAAAATACACAAACTAAAAAACGCAAGATGAAAAGTGAGCACGAATGAAGTGCAAAGAAACACAGAAAAATGTAAAAGTATGATGTATGTAATTTATGCTTCAAGCTATTAAAAGTTACTTCAAGTTACTAAAAGTTTGCTAAAAGAGTTAAATTATGCTTGCGATTATTTATTTATGACAAACAGCATGATTGCATAATAATATATTGTGTTATATTTCATATTACCTGCATTAAAACGCATATGCAATAAATGCACATATAATAAATTATAAAATTCTTGTTTATAAATTTATAAAATTTTAAGGGTAGAATATATATAGATTATTTATCATATAATATTGCATGGCAATTTTTTTTTGTGTAACAGATTACATAGTAAACACAAATCTAATTAGGTAATTACCTGT